GGACATGTGCAACGGAATATTAAATAATAATTCCAATTGACATATAACGCTCATTGAATGCTTGTGAATAAAATTCACCAACATTATCAAGACGAATTGTCTTGATTGAGTAATTGAAATATTGAGCTCGTAATTTTATGATTTAGACAAGTAATCTAGCTAAAGTTACATCTCCAGTGTAATATAAGCAAACATGTAACTATTTAGTAGAAAAATCGATTAATACCATAAAATAATGAAACATGTTAGGTTTATCAGTCTACATATGTCTCCATGAATTCTTTTCCAAGAGAAATGGAGATTCAACATTGACCTTGGTAATTGAAGATCCGATAACTAACTTGCTTTGAAAACTAGCTGAATATTGATAAATATAGGGTAGAAGAATCTTCTGGTTTTCTAGAGGATACACATGTGAATTTTTTATTATTCAGCGTATCATTATTACTCATGGATGTCTAAGTCGATTATGCCAAAATATAAAAATTTTTGGATCAATGAACTTTGAGTCGTGATAATGTTTAATTTAATCATTTTTATGATATACAATACATGTCAAATGAGAGTGCATGAAATTTTTTGTTTTATATGCTTCTAGCCAGATACAAAAAAAGTTATATAAAGATATTTAGGGGGTGTTTGTGCCCCATTATTTGTGATTAAAGTATTATTGAATAGTGATTGATGTTGAAAGGTATGGTTAAAAAAAAAGAAGAAATTTTTTGATTTACATGTAATATTATTTTAATAAATAATGTGTTGTTGAAAATGAGCACTGTAGAAAAAATAATGTGTTGGAATGGTATAGAAACAAAGCCTTAATGTTATTTTCTTATATCATCTCAATGTGATATCCATTTAGGAATGACAATTTGACATATCGACTCGACCCGAAAAAAGCCCGCGCTAACGAGTAGCTCAACGGGCCGCCTCGTTAGAAAAAATGAAAGGCAGTGTGTTGCCATGCAAGCTGACTTTAAAAAATAAAAAAAATCGAGCTGGCTCAACTTGGTAGGGCCCAGGACGAAAGCTCCGGTCCAACCTTGAATTTTTGGCTATTTTTTGCTCGATTGGGCTCAGACAAAAAAAAGTCTGTCAAAATTTTACTCGAGTTGAGCTCGAGTATCGAGTTTTGTTTTGACTCATTGACATTTCTATATCCATTGCAATGAATATCTTTAAAACTAAACTAATTTCTTATAAATTTGCTTGAATAAAGTGTATCGTGAATGTATAATTCTCAAAGGATATTTATCAAAAAAAATTATAAATTAGCTGTTAAAACTCATTTGCCTCCCATTCAATTTACACGTTTAATGATTTAGTGTGAAAACGTGTATTGCAATTTGCAAGTATAGAATGATCAAAAAATAAATATATCTAGTCCCTAATGTTTACAAATTTTAGAATAATAGTTTATTAATGAAAACAAATATCACTATCTTGTTCATGAAAATATCACCAAAAATATTAAAAAGAGAATGCTCCTCTACTAAAAGGCCTGGTACAGGCCTTCTCTCCCATCTTGTTCATGTTTAATGTTTGATGGGACCTCCTGATTAGTTTTTCTACGAACTATAAATTTTTGGAAAATGACCTCAAAGTCAGGGATGGCTTTTCATACTTGATTTTAGTATGAACTTTGACAAATCAATTGGCACTGGTGTGAATTCATGACCTTCTTCAAGCTACGTAATTTCTCGAAGCTCGACTCAACAAAAAGTCTTCGCCCTCCCTGGTCTCTCTCTCTCTTCAAGCTACGTAATTTATAAAGATATTATATGTTCTCTTAGTCCTTTAACTTTATGTATAAAGATTTCAAAATTTACTAATAGAGAAAACTTTTGAACTATTTATAGAGTATGGAGTAGGCAAGCAACAATAAATATAAAATAGTTGAAAATTTTCTTATATACTTGGTTACATTGTAAAAATTGTATTAGAGACTAATAGTTATACAAAAGTTACATTACAAAAGTTTTCACTACACACCATATCTTACTATCATAACCAATCAATTTGTACTAATAGTTATACTACATATCAAAGAATACCGGGACACATTTATTCTCCAAGAAAATCATTTGAAAATAAGTACGTCATAATAGTAGTTTCGAAATAGTCAATATAATAATGGGATCCCACAAAGTGATGGAAACCCAAAAAGTCTGGATACGTCATCCATGTGTGGACTTCTTTGACATACATACAATATCGGCCATGTTCCGAACTCATCCATTCACCCAAGGTAAAATCAATGTATTCGATAGTGATCATCTACAAGAAAGTAAAATAACGTGAATAAATTTATATAGCAAGTAATCTATACCATAATCTTTTTTTAATTTGAATAAGAAAAGAAAACAATGGGCTCCAATTATAGATGTTCAATCCTACCCGTGCACGCAATATGAAAATAACAATATATGAGCTCATTAGTTGATTACACCTTGGTGTAAAATCAATCATTGTCCAATGTAATGCCAATATCCAATGTAATGTCAATATTAATGGGTACAATCTTGGATCTATAGTTGATTTGAAAAGCAAGAAGTAATCCAATAAACATAATTGCAATAAATATGTTTGAAATAAAAATAGGTATAGACTACTCACCTTCAAGTTGCAAGACAATTAAAGTGCTATCTTTATAAAATTACTTGACTTTGGTTTTCGTTGTATGCATTTCCATTCCCCTCCTTCTCCTCTATTTATAGCAATAATTTAGAATTAAATTAATAATTAATTTATTTTTCCTTAATCATTATTTTGTCACCTTTTACCCTATTATATCATTTGTCATTGTAGTATTTAGAGTGACAAAGTGATATATGTAGGGTAGCCACCATATATCATTTGTCATTTTCATATTTAGAGTGACAATGTCATTTATTGAGAGTACCCACCTTATACCATTTGTCATTTTCATATTTAGAGTGGTAAGGTCATTTATTGAGAGTAGTCATCTTATTTTCCTTAATTTTTTCACATGGTTTTTAACCAAATTTTTATTTCAATTCTTTTCATAAGCTTATAATATTATTAATAAATTTTTTTACTATGTTACATGAAATATACATAACAATACAAGGTATGAATATGTATTATAAACTTACTGAAGTTTTGGGATGTCACAATCAAATATTTCAAGAGTATTGTGAACTGCCCACTATTGGTGGGATTGGTGTTTTTCAACTCGCACGTGGCTCGATTGTCATCGATACTTACTCTTATGATACTGCCACCAATAAAGGTGTTTTAGAATACACTCTTTTTGTGGTTCATTATGAAGCTTGTGCTTAGAACCATATTCAATTGTCTTTAAAAGTTATTAAGCCCCTGTTTGGTACCCATTTTTTTTAAAATGTATTTTTCTCTATTCTTTTTAATTACATATTCTTTATTAAGATAATATTACAAGTAAATCAAAAAAAATTTCTTATTTTTCAATCACACTTCTCATCAAGTTACTATTCTAAAATGCATTTTTACATAAAAATGTCTATCAAACGCCCCATAAGTTTACTATGAAGATTATCAGCCTATTTGGGATGGATTTTTTACCCCAAAAAATTGATTTTTTGACCGTTATTTCACTTTTCCAGTCTTAATTTTTGATTTCTTCTCTCATAGGTGGACCCCACTTTTCTTCTAACGGTCAAAAAATCAATTCTCAAAATCCCTCCCAAACGAGACCTATATTTGACAAAATAAGTTACTTTTAGTTACATTTAAGTGAAGTCAAATATTTTTGCTTGTAACTATCTGAATTTCATGCTTTTAAATGCTCGTCAACTCTTATTCATATCAACTCTTTAACTTGTCTAGTTCAAATAATTGTGTTAATTTAATCATATTTCCAACTTTGTTTTGACAATTATTGCTACAAGAGTTTAGACTTTGTAAATATTATATGTTTTAATTTGACAATTTGATAAGATCGTTTAACACTTATTTATACCTATGCGACCAGTTAGGGTTAATTCATAACTGTTGGAGGCCGCTTCAGTTTGAATTACGGCGATTTTTTGGAGGGAACATTGCAACTTTTCATAACGTTTTGTCACCAATTTGTGGGGGTATTGATTTAAATCTATAAATAGATGATGAGCTAATCAATACATGATATTGAAATCATCAAAACACATGGATACATAGTGATCATAATCTTCATACCACAAGAAAAGCTAAACACCTCTTTCTTCCCATATTCATACAATTTTCCTTTGTGTTCTTCAAGTTTGGATAAAAAAACATTTGTGTTTTAGTGTTTTTCTGCAATAAGGCTTGATCAATTATACGAACTATTTGCCCAAAAACTCTTGAAACATCTCGTATAACCCGGATAATGGGCAAATATCGTTCGAGGACAGCGATATTATTTTCGCGTTTGAGCCTAAATATTGGTTTTGATCTTCTTGTTCATTTTCATCTTTTTGAATTTTCATTTCTTGATTTCTTCTTTAAACCTCGGTGTTGATAATTTTCCAACAATTTTATCACACTGGGTAACTTCTACTTTTGTACGACCCATAAAGAGAACAGAAAGTAGGCTTATAATTTTTCCTCTAAGAACCTAACAAAATAAAAAAAGACAATCACATCAAACATAATTTTTAATCATGCATTCTTTAGGATCCAAAAAACTTTTTAGTTTGGCACTTTTTTAGTTGATACTCCAACGCAAACAATGTAGGATTTTATTTCACTATTCTTCATTTCTTTCTTTTTCTTCAATAATTTTGATATATACTAAAATCCAGCGTTGCCGCGTTGGGGTTGTTGGATAGCTTTGTCATGGTGTTGAATAATCAACTTCCCCCTTTTGGCCTTTTTTTCCTCGTCGTTTCGTCTTTGGTCATGTTTGGCTGCTCATTCGTCTATTCTCATGGAATTTCTTGCACTAAATGTAAAAAGAGTTATTGTTAAGAATAAATTTAACATTGTCAAGTTCAAACTATACCTTCTTTGCATTTTCCTATTCCGTTTACTACGTCAATTCGCCTATATAAATCCTACCCTTCATTGCTTTGAAATTACACAAACACAAACACACACAGTGATGGCAAAATCCAATGGCGAAGCCAAACTAACCGAATCCGTGGAAGAATGGTACAAAAACTTCGGGTCAGCAAGGCAAAAAGTTACGAAGCTTCACTTCTATTTTCAAGACGTCAATGGTGGATCGGATCCAACAGTTTTAAAGGTGGTCGAGCCCACTGCTAATTCAGCCACATCCTTTGGCCAAGTTAGCATGGTCGATGACTTAGTAACGGAAGGGCCTGAGCCCGATTCCAAGAAAGTGGGTCGAGCTCAAGGAACTATAGGATTTGCAGATTTGAATGATACCGCATTGCAAATGGTTCTAAACATCGAGTTCACTGAAGGAGAATATGCGGGCAGCACTATTAGTATCCTAGGAAGGAATCAAATATTTCAAGAGTATCGTGAACTGCCGATCGTCGGTGGGACTGGTGTTTTTCGACTCGCACGTGGCTCGGTCGTGACAAATACTTACTCTTTTGACACTGACACCAAAAAGGGTGTTTTAGAATACACTCTCTTTGTGGTTCATTATGAAGCTTGTGCTTAGAACCATATTCAATTGTCTTTAAAAGTTACTAAGTTTCGCTCAAAGATTATATTTGACAAAATAAGTAACTTTGAGTTACATTTAAGTGAAGTCAAATATTTGTGCTTGTAACTCTTTGAATTTCATGCTTTTAAATGTTTGTCAACTCTTAACTTGTTTAGCTCAAATAATTGTGTTAATTTAATCATATTTCCAACTTTGTTTTGATAATTATTGCTACAAGAGTTTAGACTTTGTAAATATTATATGTTTTAATTTGACAATTTGATAAGATCGTTTAATACTCTTATTTAATTTGCAAGGTGGTCAAATTGTCCTAATCAATCAAGTGTTGTGTTTGGTCAAATCTCCTTTTCCTTTCATATGGAAAAAGATTGACTTTATTACACTGGACAAAAACGCGTAACAAAATTTGTTAATTATTATGTCCAAGTCCGTAGGATGAATTACGAAAATAGTTAGCCAACTCTTAGGGTAAACGCAACTCAGAGGCACGGAAGTCTTTTGTCTATACATTCATTATGACATAACAAATTTTTCAACAAATACTTTTTTTCTCCCCTTTTCGTATCTTTTGCCCTTTTTCGTAACCATTATATAATATCTATTTGTTCTACATTATTTCCTCATTTGTAGAAGAATTCCGACCATTAGTGGACCCCCATAAAGTTGTAGTTTTTGACTTGCATCTCACAATTTCATGAAGGAATGTAGACCATTGATTATATTTCTCATTTTATGAAATGAAAAATGTGCCTCAAACAGCCACATAAATTTGTAAAATATAGTATGTAAAGTATAATTATAGGTTATTTATTTATTTTTTTTTGTAAATTTTCCATTGAGTTTAGGAATTATATGCTTATAAACAAACTTAAAATTGCAAACCTTCATACACATTGAAGACCAATGACTACTACTTTTCACCATCCAATGCACTTTTGTTGGGGAACAAGGACTCTTTCCTTCAATCTTTCAAAACATTTTGTGTTGAAAACCAAGGACATGTTCTTTCGACCGTCCAAGGCACTTTGTATTACGGACCAAGGACTAGTTCCTTCTATCATCCAAGGCACTTCATTGTTTTTATTCCAGCCCCATTTTTTTATAATGCACAGGATTTGAATTGCATTAAAAGTTCCTCGTCTTTAGTTATTGTCAAACTTACGTTTTCAATTATTTTATTGCATTCTTATCTTGCATTAATTGGTACCTGATGCAGATTTTCTTCTAAAAATTTTGCTTACGAAATTTAGAATAAGGGTGTGTTTGATAGGGGTGGAATTCCATGGAAAATGGAATTAGAATTCCAACTTTCCAATTCTTGGGTGTTTGATTGGCAAAAATTTCCAAGGAATTCATATTCCACATTTTGGTGCCACATAAACTTTTTCCTTCTTTGGGAGGAAAATGAAATGGTGAGAATTCAATTTTCCGATTTACTGTAGCAACTTTTTTTTCGTTTATTTTTTTTGTTGGTAATGGAAACAAATTTTAAGAATTATCGTAAAAAAATATTTTCCTTTAACTCACAATTTCCATGTAAAACAAAGTCAAACGAACACCAAAAAATAGATGATTTTCTTGATTTCTTTTTTTTTTTTGGCAGTGGAAACAAATTTCATCCCCAATACCAGCGAAATCTATCCGTTTAATTGATAATTTTCATGTAAAACAAAGTCAAAAGAACAACAAAAAAACTTTTATTTCAATATTTTCCACGTGAAAAATTATACCAATCAAACACAATAATTTATAATTTCTAGAAAAATAATTTCTAGGCAATTCAATTCCCTAGAATTCGTTTTTAATTCAATTCCATCTTTACAATCAAATGGACCCTAATGTAAAAATATTTTTTCACACTTTTGCATTTGTTATTTATTTTCTTATTTATCTATACAGTGGGCAAGTAAGTATTTTTTCTTAACAGAAATTTAAAACTATTATCAAAGACAAGATGTGCTAATTAGTAGAATGTTGAGGAAAAAAATATTGAGTGCATGAATATGACAATAAGTAAAAGTTTAAAACATAAGTATATGCTTTGAAACTTACAAGATATTGTGGCGTAAGTATGGGTTAATTACCCCAATAGTCACTGAACTTTGCGAAATGTAACTTGAGAGGTCACTGAACTTCAAATGTTTCTTGGGAGGTCACTGAACTTTGCCAAATGTTACCTGAGAGATCACCGAATTTCAAGTGTTTCCCAGGAGGTCACTGAACTTTACAAAAACTTCCTGAGAGGTCACTAAATTTTGTAAAAAATAACCCCATACATCACTGAGTTGAGTGACCTCTTAGAAAATTTTTGCAAAGTTCAGTGACCTCTCAGAAAGTTTTTGCAAAGTTCGGTGATCTATCAGGAAGCTTTTGAAGTTTAGTGATCTCCTAGGTAGCATTTGGCAAAGTTCAGTGACCACTAAGGAAGCTTTTGAAGTTCAGTGACCTCCTAGGTGGCATTTGACAAAGTTCAGTGACTTTTAGGGTAATTATAATCACTCTTTTCCTTTTCCTTCTTTCTGTAATTTTATAATTAAAAGTATCTGCTTTGAAACATTCTTTATCTTGTGCGAGATAGGTGAAACTTTTGGCGATAAGGAAATTTGAATTATTGGAATTTGTTTATTTCCCTTTTAAAACAAGTGATATACGTTGATGCTCAATAATAGAGAATTTTTATCATAACATAACTAATCAGAGTTGAACGTACATTGCACGTTATTTTGAAATACTTTATAAGTGATATAATACCCATTTGTTGGAAGGATTTGACGAGTCTCAAACGGACTTAAGAAAATAAATTTTAGGATTGAAATTTAAGAGAAAAAATTATACTCTTAAAATTCAACTTCTATAATTCAATTTTTTGTGTTGATAAAATACTACAAATGAACAACATTTATACTATATTTGGTACATAAGAAGTAATTGCTAATACATGAATTTAGACATCTATTAAAATTCATAGATACATGAATAGAAATAAATTCATTTATAATAACTCTAGATTTATGTAGATCATAATTCATCAAATCAAGATTCATTTAGTCTAAATTAATGTGAATGTTAATTAATTAAAAATTAATAACGCGAAATTCATACATGATAAGGATATTGTAGTATCTATTACATATTGAAAAAATAAAAATTAAAGTATTATTAAAATAATTGAATTGTAATCGGATTAAAATCGTCCAAAAAATAATTCTCATTTGATGTGATATTTAATATAGGAAACATTGCAAAATTGGTCCTCAACCTATTGCTTAATTAACAAGTTGGTTATAACAAGCATTTAATATTTGTTAAAACAAGAAGAATAAAAAACTTTAAAAAGAAACAAATTGGTCTTCACCTTTTATTTTAATTGCACAATAAATATCTAACACCGCTAAGTGTCGAACCTCCGTTTAAATCGTCACTTGGGCCTTTTATGCCCAATTTTATGGAGTCAGTTCTGTTTTTCGAATTGAAGTGTTGCATATAAATTTAAAAACATGCTTTTGTTAAGAACATGGACAATTTAGTGGAGATTTAGATGGTCTAAAAATTGATTTCACGTCTATAATGAAAAGACGATGACCAGCTTGTGCTTTCATAAAGATTCTGAACCAACTCTCTATTCGAACAATAGTTTGGGAACCAGTGATGCTATTTTTCCTATAGCTTTTTTAATTTTTAGATAAGCTGATCATGCTCGGTGGCACGTATTATTAAAAGAAGAGAAAAATAATACAACATGGGCTAGACTTGACCTCGAAAATAAAAAATAAGCAAAAAACAAAAACTTACCCTTTGTGGTCACATCCATCTTTTTCCTAACTACATATTCAGTGAACTTCAACTAAATGACGTCGCTAACAAGAAGTCAGTCTTTTACTAAAAGGCAAAATAAATAGACAGTTTTTGTGATAAAATTCTCATTATTTTATACCAAAACACTGATCTATTCACTATATAAATGTAGCTAATCCTTAGACCTTAATGCAGCAGACAAATTTATTATAATAAATACAGAATATTATTTGTCCTATTCCAATAGAATATTGTAACACATATCAGAATCTTCATCTGCTATAAATAATCATATATAAGGCCCTCAACTTTCTTCATCTTAGATTAAAAAAATGGCGAAGCTATGCATAATTGTCTTGCTTTGCTCATTAGTGATTGTCACTATAAGTATTATGCCCTACGTCTAATTAACTTTGGACATAAATATTTTTATATATAATTAATACAATTAAATGACAGATCTATTATTTAATTAATAGACAATTAAATAAATAATAGAGTCCGTAGATTCAAATATTTGTAATTTATTAATCACAAGGAGTTGTGATTATGAGATACAAATTACATCTGATTGAATCTTAAATCATTCGTGGTAGTAAGTAATAATGAGATACGGATATCGTTATTACGGATAGACCATCATGTGTGGCATTTCTTACTTGTGAAGTAAGTAACTGATCTCACAAGTTAAAGTGTTGTGACACTTAAATGAACACGTTGATGTTTTGTTATAGAACAAAACATTGGAGACCCGTCGAGAGATTCCACATGGATAACTATCTGAGTGTCGGTGGTTAATCTCTAACGTTCGGTAGTGGAATTGGTCCTTTGAGTTGAGGTCGTCATAGTACCTTATATGAGGACAGTCATACTTTGGCGGTGTTGGATGTTGCTCTGAAAAGGGCCGCTAATACGACATCGTTCGGGTACGTCAAGAATCGTATGAAGGTTGTGATTGATCAATAAAGGATTCGTCACTCTTAGATAGTAAGAGATTATGATCTGCGTTTCATTCAATTAATTCGATGATAAAATCATTGGCCAAGGTGTACTCATAAGTCGAAAAGGAGTTTTCGATTTATATTGACTTAATAGTGGAGTGAAAGATATGATCGATGATCGAGATTGACACAATTTCATATCTCGTAATTGATCGGATCATATTGACAAAGGGATTATAGTTTCATGGTAAACGAAAGAATTTGATTTTGTCATACCACGTGACATTTTCCGTCACATGTATTGCCCTGACACATTGCTAGATGTCAATCAAGGACGACGAGTGTGAATTGACGATAAACTAAAAGGGTGTTTTAATTTATCAATCTTGATTAGATCAAAATAATATTTCATGTCGTTAGGCATCGTGGTCGGGAACCTAATGGGTCGCACACA